ATATTTATGTACATACATATATGGATAAATTGTGACTAATTTGAATTAAGGGCACTTGAAAAGCATAAATAAGTATATGTTAACGATTATGAATATGTATATAAAAACACACACACATTATTTGATGGATAAACAGTATATACATAGGTATTTTCAAATTGCTTATCTTTCTAGGAGTGCTAAAAATAATTATATTTTCAAAGTTATGATATCGATTTGATAACAAATAGAAATTTTAAAGAAAACGCGACTTATATAATATATGTATAATGCTAATTTACTTTTATAAATAAAATACGCAGATTGTATCACCAAATACATTGTATTGAATATTTATACATTTATTTTGATAGTTATAATACTAATTAGGAAATAGTTCAATTTTGTATAGTCACAAGTTTCAATAAAAATGAAATTAGCTCTAATAGTTGATGTCAACTGTAAGTCGATTGGCACATCGTATAAACTGAGTGCATTTTCTCATTTGCAGGTGTCGCTCGTTAGCCAAGTCTCCGGCCATCTGGCCATTACGTACCCGAAATTCGTCATTATCGAGCGGAAATGGCCAAAAATAAAACTGCTAAGATCGAAATAAATTAGATTTAAGCATGTTCGACATGTTCTATGCACAAAGCGAACCATTACCTGGATGATATAAATGTTAAATAAATATATTTCAGTCTCAATAGAATCGAATTAATTGAAAGTTGCAGCTCTCAATTTCAATTTTTCATTTCGTGTTAATAAATTCAATTAAGCACAGGTCAAAGAGCCTTTTCGCAAAATAAACACTAAAGCAAAAGGTTGAAGAAGCTAAAAATACCGAATTCTAACTAAATGAAGTTCTCTTTGTTTACCACAAAAGGTAAATATATGTATGTCGCTAATGAAATTTTGTGCTGGCCTGCGGGACTCGAGAAGGAGACCGGGGGGACGTAGGTCATTCGCAGAGTAAGCGATAAATTGTTTCTCATATATTTTGTTGTATTTGTTATCTGAAATTGTGAATGGGTAAACTGTCGACAGTAATAAAAGTTACAAAGTTGGAGCGAGCTCGTAAACAGTTCTTAACCACACATCAGTAATTAATTAATGATCTAGAGAGTGGGGAGCCGGCACTTCAAATTAACAATATCGATTCCTGTTTATGTTCATAACGTGTGCCCATTAAAATCGAATACAAAAGGCTAAATGGAAGACAAAAATACTCTCGCAATCATTCAGCACAAATTCGAGTTATTGCATCGATTCATAATATCGATAATCAGCAGAGTATGTTATGATGATAAACCTAGTTTATACAGTATATACGTATTTATTTGACACATATATTAAATATTGCTTCTGCAGGGTATATTTTGGCCATGCACTCCCGACCAGTTTTTCCGATTGCCAACGGCAATTGACATATTTATGCGCTTTCTCGCAATGGGTGCACTTTTTCATCATTCATACGAAGCGTTGAAATTTGTATTCTGCAAATAGAAATAAACAAATAAAAGTTGCAGAATAATACAAATACAGACGAAATAATAAAACAGAATGAGAAGAAACCAAATCGAATTCAGATTGATTTATGTTTAAACCCCTATGCATTTACTTTGTAAACATTCACTTTTATTGCGAGGTGTGCGAACATTTGGTGTAACATTGTTTTTTTCTTAATTTTAATCGCATATGATTGGCTGGAATTGAAAGAGATATAATTAATATTATAGAGCACTGACAGGGTTTTTTTCTTTCTCTTTTAGGAAGCACAAGAGCATATTTTAGTTGACTATTAGTTATATATTTATTTGTACTACCTTTAGCGACAAGTTAATCTCTCTATGAACGATCATGAGAAAATAAATGACAGTTGATTTATATTAGCTAAAAAAAAAAAAAAAATAATATCCCATATCATTTTTTTTTTTCATTTATTTAATATAATATATAATATTATTATCGACAGAGTATGCCTATCTACCATCCAATATATTCTGATCATGTCAGTAAAACTGTTTCCTATTTGATCTATAGTCATATTTTTGTGTCAAATTGTCATAAAAGTAGTCATCATTTTGTATTTATTACTTGCGTGACTTTATAGCTAATAATGGGTCCGATTTATAGTAGTTTGTATCTTGTGTCTCCCTCTCTCTCATTACGTCCATTTATTTCTGGTGATATCTCTGTCTCTTTCCGCGTTGAGGTCAATTTCCAAACGGCACAGGCGTTCGCTCATTTAGCCGCAATCCGCAATGTTCAATTTGGTTTACGTTTCGATGGTCGTATACGACTGGTTGTTACCAGAGATTAGATAACATGGCCAGACAGTTTACAGTTTAGCCCCACAAATGTAGCCCACAGCTCCAATTTAATAGTTCAGTGTTTTGTTTATGACGGCCAAGATAATAATTGAAGCGTTTAGCCGTCTAAATATTTTGAGCAAAGCTTAAAGGGGACTTTAGGCTACGATAGTACTAATACTAAGTACAATATAATATTATTTAATATATATAGTTATTGCATATAAAAAATGAAACTGATCTCGTTAAACACATGTAATTAAAATTAGACTTAGATTTGACTGTCTTTACATTGAATAATAAAACTTATAATCAGTCAGGCTAAACCTTATCATATCCACTAAAAGGGTAAAATACTTTAAAGTAGTTTTTGAGTAAACTTTACTTGTCATAGTTTTCATCCAGTCAGAATTTGTCTACATATTTAAGGTATTTAAGGCACTTTAATTTATTGCTCTGCTGCTGTGCTTCAATTATTAAATGAAGGCAATCTCTATCGACCATTCAGGTGGAATCCTTTGTCCACAAACAAACCGCACAATCAGTCGAGCCTAAGCCAAGAATGTCTCTCATCTGACCAGCTAACAAACAAGCAAACCACACAATGATATGCACACACACACACATACAGACACTCACACCCTCAGGCGTGTTCACTTTCAATTTTCAATTATGCCAACAAGGCCAAAACAATGCCTCTTGTATTTCGGACCTCGATTGAAAGCATCGCCCTCATCTTGGCTCAGCTATTTATCCCACAATCCGTTTTTCCATTTTTTGTTGTCTCTGGTCGCCCATTAAGAGTTCTTCACAATTATTATTATATTAGATGTGATATTTTTATTATTTTAGTCACTCGTGACAGTTGAAGCACATCGCAGCAATTTCCAAAGTGCCGCCCACTTGTTGTCCTTTTCCAACGGCAGGCTTCTGTCTCTTTCATCTTGTTCGTGTGTTATATTGCACTTCCAGTATCAAAGATTGCAAATTGGTTCATTTCTATTCCTGCTGATCTTTGGAAGTGTGAACCCATATCAACTCCGGCTTGGGATATTTAATAATCCCCGTATAATCTTTGGATTTAGTAAAACCATTCATCGATTGGTATTTCTCGAATACAGTTATTTCACTTCATCTTCGATAGGTTTCCTCTGCTC